AATCATCTTGAGCTCCACGTGACCTCCACGGTACTCGTCAAGGTCAATCAGCGTAGCCCATTCGGTAGGTCTTATGGAGTCTTACAACTTTTATCCGAAACATTTTTCCATCATACCCGCCGTTTGCGAAATAATCGGCCGTGTCCGAACTTTTGCCATGCAAACACTAATACTCGCCTCAAGGTCACCGCCAGGGGGTTGAAAGGGCTCATGCCCAGGGTTTTGGAAAGGGCTCAAGACCAGCTTTTACATGACCTTACCAAATACCGGGTGTCCCATTTAAAAAAATCATCTTGACCTCCACGTGACCTCCACGGTACTCGTCAAGGTCAATCAGCGTAGCCCATTCGGTAGGTCTTATGGAGTCTTACAACTTTTATCCGAAACATTTTTCCATCATACCCGCCGTTTGCGAAATAATCGGCCGTGTCCGAACTTTTGCCATGCAAACACTAATACTCGCCTCAAGGTCACCGCCAGGGGGTTGAAAGGGCTCATGCCCAGGGTTTTGGAAAGGGCTCAAGACCAGCTTTTACATGACCTTACCAAATACCGGGTGTCCCATTTAAAAAAATCATCTTGACCTCCACGTGACCTCCACGGTACTCGTCAAGGTCAAACAAGGGTGACCAGTTGATAGATTGGTTGAAATCCTACAACTTTTGTATTTAACATTTTCCTCTAACTCCTATAGTTTTTGAGAAAATCGGCCGTGTCCGGACTTTTCGGACACCCTGTATATATGTTTTCCCGATATTTCTGCCATGTTGCAAATAAAACTAAAGAGGACATTGCAACCTTACCGAGACATTCCAGAAACATTTTTGCAATATTTCAGATACATCCCAGAAACGTATCGTGCAACATTTCTGCAATGTCACAAATGTAACCGAAGCGGACATTTTGATGTTTCTGCAACCTTGCAGAGATATCTCAGAGACATTACGCAACGTAACTGAAACAGTTTCAGGGTTTAAATGTGATGTTCCTGCAATGTTGCAGAAACCTTTCTGTGCTATCAGGGTATACAGGGTTGGCAAAAAGTCCGGAAACGGTCAAATATCTCGAAAAAAATCAACTGTAGCGAAAAATATGTAAGTAGCAAAGTTGTAGGGCTTAATAAAATATACTTAATGATGGCTAAAAATTTGATTTTGGGTGGAGGACGAAGGTCATACGAAAGTCAAATTGAATTTTTTAAATTTGACTCCCACTTTTTATTACATCTTCTTGTAGCTTATTTCAAAAGCTTTCCAAAAACCTATAATAAAGTATTTTTTTATTAGACATATTTAGAGTTATGAGGCTTGAAAAGATTTTGGTCTTTAACTGTTTCTGTTTCGTAAAAACGTATCACTGTCTTCTGAACGGTGGATTTAGAAATAAAATGGCGATCAGAATATGCAGCATTGAATGTGTAGATCAGTTGTTTCTTCGTATGATCTCCAAATATGGTCTCCAAATTTTCGATAAAGAAACAAAAAGTCCGGAAACGGTCAAATATTTCGAAAAGGATCAACTGTAGCGAAAAATATGTAAGTAGCAAAGTTGTAGGGCTTAATAAAATGTACCTAATGATGGCTAAAAATTTGATTTTGGATGGAGGAAGGTCATACGAAGGTCAAATTGAATTTTTCAAATTGGACCCCCCACTTTTTATTACATATTCTTGTAGCTTATTTCAAGGGCTTTCCAAAAACCTATAATAAAGTATTTTTTTATTAGGCATATTTAGAGTTATGAGGCTTGAAAGGATTTTGGTCTTTAACTGTTTCTGTTTCGTAAAAACGTATCACTGCATTATCTTTTCTTTATCGATTAACATTTTTAAAAAAGAAATTTGAAATTGTAGTTAGAAAAAGAAAGGGAAAAGACAAAGAGTAAGATGCGAAAGAGCACGACTCGTTTTTAAAATACAAAGATCGAGAAGTGTTATCGTGAAGTGCGGATATGCGCGAGTTTCGACTGAGTACGTGTGATATTACGTCGTGAATGAATAACCGCGTTCAATAAGAGCGAATGAACAACTAAGCTGGTCATATCGTCTAGCTCGAGACACGAAAAACAAAGTTATTCTTGTTTTTCTCCTGTGTTTATGTTTTTAAGGCTCCCAGCCTAGTTGTTCATTCGCTCTCAT